CCCCCCCCCTTCTGTCAAGGTGCCGGCGCTGCCGCAGCTGGTCGAGAGCCTCAACCAGACCAACGACTTCTCGGTCTTTGTGCGCACGCTGCGCGCCGAGTTCAAGCGGCTCTGCGCCTGAGGTGCGTGGAGCGCTGGAGCGGGAGGCGCGGCCGTGCTATGCCGCAGTGCCGGGCCGCGCGCTTTTTCGAGAGGCGTGGTGCGCCCTCCAGTACAGTCGTACTCGAGAGTAAGGGCGCGACATGTACATGAGTAAAATGAGGCCTGGGAGCTTCTTTGAGGGTCACAAACTGTAGTAAACACGTGGATTTAACCTTGCCACTGCACTCTGCAGCCCAAGACGCCCAAGTCTAGTACCCGAGTCGCGTCGGCCATTATTTTTTCGTGTCCCATACCTGAGCCCTGGCTGTCAGGCTGTCAGGTGCTGTCAGGAAGGTGATCTGTCGGGCTGTCAGGCACTGTCAGGTGCCTCTGTCAGACCAGCTGTCAGGTGCTGTCAGTGCTGTCAGGTGCTGTCGGGTGCGTGTCTGACAGGCGAGGTGATCTGTAGCTGTCGGGTGCTGTCGGAGCTGTCGGGTGTTGCTGTCAGACGCTGTCGGAGCTGTCAGAGCTGTCAGGCTGCTGCTGCTGTCAGACGTTGGGCTGTTACTGTCAGGTGCTGTCAGGTGGTGCTGTCGGGCTGCCCTAGCTGTCGGGGTGCTGTCAGGCTCTGACACACACCAGCCACACTTATGACACTATCAAGAGGAGACCAGCGGGTACGCAGCTGCCCCCCTCCTACGGCGTGATCACGCCGGCAGGGGCGGCCGCCTGGGGAGCGCAGATGGCGGCGCAGAGGCACAGGCGGCGGCGGCGGCACAGACGGCGGCGGCCACCCCCACCCAGACGCCGTAGGCATATGACTGTAGGGCCCCAGAAGGCTAGCTGGTAGCTTCATTTGTAGTAGCACAGCCGCCGGTGCTGGAGAGGGGTCCGCAGAGGTGGGGCGGGAGGGTTGAAAGAGAGACCCATGACCATCCCATGACTACATGGACATGGACATGGACCACACTCACATGTCTTTGCATGTAATTTTGTTATACCCTCATGGGGCATAAGAAAGAGGCTCTACGGGGTCTGTGTACGGTCTGTGCTGCTGTCAGGCTGTCAGCGCTGCTGTCAGGCCACTGTGTGCTGTCGGGCTGTCAGGCAGCTGTCAGGCTGTCACATTAGGGCCTGACAGCGACGGGTCACCTCGCCTGTCAGGCTCTGCTGTCAGGCTGTCAGATACGTGCTGTCAGACTGTCAGAGAAAGTGCTGTCAGCGCTGTCAGGCTGTCGGGCACTGTCAGGCGCTGTCCGGGGTTTGCTGTCAGTCTGTCAGACCAGGGCTCAGTCCCATACAGTAGGGAGTAGCTAGACACCAGTGAGAGGCGACGTGTCGCATGACTGCGGGCACTGATTGGATGCCACAACCACTGGCACCCGCGTGCGTCATTGCCGTTCAGTGCAGCCCTTTTTTTGCTGGGTCTAGACTGCATCATTGGCAGGCTTGCGTGCAAGCCAAGACACAAAGCCTATGGTGGCATGCAACACTGTGATGTCAACGAACCCCGCCTCCGCCAACTTTTCTTCATACCAGAGCGAGGTGCGAGTCTCAAGCACTCCAACAATCGCAGCGCGCTTCTTCTGGATCTCTTCCTCAGTGACACCCTGCGCCCTTTTGTAGTCGTAGTACATATCCTCAATCACTTGTGGTTGCGAAGTCTTCTCTGTCAAAAGGAAAGTGCCTCCTCCTTTGAGGACGTCAAACACGTCACGCATCAGAGTGGGGCGCGTGTCTGGTGGCTCAAAGTGCATGGCCCAATGAATCGAGACGACGTCAAACTCTCTGTCCAGCTTTGTGGGAAGAAAGGGACGCGAGGCTTGATCGACGAGCTGTACATTGACGCTCGGAAAGCGCTTCACGAAGGCGTCAAGCACCGGCTGCTGGTATTGGGTGGCGTGCAGCCGATCAGTGCGCCACCCTCTTTCCACATAGGGATCGAGATGGTTGCCAGGGCCAGTGTTGTAGAACAGGACGGACGCGTCCGTACCATGGATGCGGTCCACCACCTCGGCGAATTTCGGGAGCAGCTTCCAGTAGTCGGGAATGTGCCCCGTCACCTCGCGGTCCCAGTTGGCAACCACGGAGGCATCAAATTCCCACTGCCCTTTCTGGAAGCCGTAGCCATTGGACCTGTCATCCCCCTTTGTCACGGTCATTTGAGCTTCGGCCGGTCAGCACGCCATTCGAAGCGAAGCGATACAGATAATTCCGATATCATTATTAACTGGGAATTATATAATTCCGATACAGAATATTCATTTGAGGAAAAAAATGGCAATGGGAGAAAAGAGAGAGGGGGTTGTGTTCTCTAGGCCCCTAAGGGCCCTACGCGCGGCGTGAGAGCTCGGAAGCGAGCTTTGCACGGCGATCGAGGATGGCACGCTTCACCCCCTTCACCGAAGCGATGGAGATGCGTTCCGCGTGGTGGTAAAATTCGTTTTTCGTCACGGGAGTCACATCCCCCCATGCAAGCCTTTACGAAGTCGCCGGGCTTCCCAATGGCGCTTGCAGACGCACCACCGGAGTCAGAAGGGAGCCGCTTCAGGCACCGATCGCCTTGCCCAACGTTTCGTGGGACAATATGGTGTGGGATGGAATGGGATGAATGGCAACTGGTTCGGGCCCTCGTTCGTCCTTCCGACGCCGTGCTTGAGTTTGGAGCGCGCTACGGGACGACGAGCTGTAACCTCGCCCGAGCGACGCTCAACTCCGGTAGAGTAGTCGCAGTTGAGCCCGACTCAAGAGTCCGCGACGACCTGTTGCACAACCGTGCCCTCCACAATTGCAGCTTCCACATCGTGCATGGCACCGTTGCAGACCGGCCGCATGTTATTGACCCTCGAAACATGTTGCACTATGGCACCAGGACGGCCCCATTCCACCGCAGAGGGCGTGTGCTGCCTAACATTGGTATCAGGGAAATCGAGCAGCGCGTTGGGTGGCGCTTCAATACATTGCTCATAGACTGTGAGGGGTGTATCACAGACGTGCTGACGGGCACAGTTGCTGAGATGCTCGGAACGCAGATCGTCATGGTCCTGATAGAAGAGGACGCGGGGCTGAACTACAGCACGCATCATCAGCTTCTTCGCTCGAAGGGACTCAGCTTAGTCTGGTACTCTGAGGCCACGTTTGATGAGCGAGGTGGCGGAGGCGTCTTCCACTCTGCATGGCGACTTGGTGGCTCGCAGGGATTACCATCTTGTGCAGAGTATCAAGCGCATGCGAGAATTCCCAGTCGATGGCTGAAGTGCAGGGCCTTCCCACAGTAGCGAGTCGTAGTTGCAGTAGTGTCGGCGTCCTGAGCTGCAATTTTGCGTGGCTATCGGGACCGTGCAACGGCCCAACGCCGGCGCGCGGCGGCCGCCATGCCGCATGTGGCACATCGATGTGGCCACTCGCCCTGGGTGCATCGCCAACGTCCAACCGAACGCATACAAACGCAAACCGAACATGCCTTACCAAGTATATACCTGTCTGCGCTGTGTGCCTCTGGGCGGTGCAAGTAATGTAATGGTCGGGTGTTCCTATCCTCTATCTATATCTAGAGTGTAAAAGTAAAAAGACGCAGCGCCAGCGGGCATCCTCAGACTATGGGGATTTTCCACATTCCAGTCCAATCTCCGCTCCCCCACGCACACCACCACCACACGGCCGCAGCTCGGATCAATGTCCATTATTATTGTTATTAATATCAGCGATCAGGAATCAGGTCTCACCCCCCACCCCTTCACCTCCCACTCTTCTCTCTCGCTGCAGACGTCGATCCCCCTGGGCGGGAGGAGCCCGGAGCCGCGGGTGCACGTCCCTCCGGTAGGGGTAGGCGCGGCGCACGGCCTCAAGGTGCCTGGGCTCGACCACCAGAGGGAGCACGCCCTCCGCAGTGCCGAGCGACGCGGCCGCCAGCGGCGCGGCGAGGCCAGGAACGTCGCCGATCCAGGGCGGGCACGCGACCTATCCATGTCGTGGGCATGTCAGGGACGTGCCCTACACACATCCCGCTCCTCTGTGGAAGACGCGCGACCGACGAGCCGAAGCGCTCGCCCGCGTAGCTGACAGAGAGCAGGTAGACACCATTCTCGACGGCGCGAGTCGCAACAAACTGCTTGGGCGCGAGGGTGAGGGCGTTGGCTGTGAGAGGCGCTGATTGAGCGTGCTGGCTTTGAGGGCTGCCAGCGGCGTGGAACCAGCCACGGAGGCCTCCTCTCGGCGGCGTCCCACCTGGTGGTACATCGGGAAGGTGGCGTCGCGCACAAACGCGGCGGGGTGCAGGATGAGGTCGCAGCCCGCGTCCCACGCGAGAGCGCGGTAGAGCTCCGGGAAGCGGAGGTCATAGCAGATCGTGACGCCGACGCGGACGCCGTCGCACTCAAAGACGCCGAGCTCGCCCTCGCCCGGCGAGCAGCCGTGTGCAATCTCGCTGCAGTCACCCATGTCGCAGAGGTGCATCTTGTCGTACGCGAGCACCAGCTGGCCGCGAGGGTCGACCACCGCCTGGCAGATGCAGGTGCGGCCGGCTCCGGCGTCGCGGAGGAAGCCGTAGCTGATGTGGGCGTCGACGTCGCGTGCGAGCCGGCAGAAGAAAGCCGTGACGCTGCCCGACTCGGCGTCTTGCGCCGGCCGCTCTGGCCGAGTGGGGTCGAGCTGCGACAGCACCTCGTCGCAGTACCCGTGGCTGCTCAGCTCTGGCAGCACATACAGCCGGTGGCCAGGGTTGGCCCGAATCAGCGCCTCGGCGCGCGCCAGGTTTGCCTCCGTCTGGCCCGCATGAAGCTCGACCTGAAGGCCGAGGACCCGGAGCGGGCCGGTCGCGGCGAGGAGCATTGGCAGGCCGACCAGCTGTTCACAGCCTTGTTATCCCCCACTCGTCTGGCGCGACACGCCGCAGGATGGCCGCCGCCGCCGCCTTTGCAGCGCCCCCGTGGCCTCCTCCCGGCTCCACTCGTGGCCGGCGGGTGCCACAGGGTCCGCAGCAGGCTGCCAGCAGGCCCGAGCGGTGGCTCGCGACGCGACTCGGCTGCGCCGCCTCCTCGCCGCCGAGTGCTGCGAGCGTCGAGCGAGTCGCCGGCGAGCCATCCGCCACAGCCTTAGCTGCCGGTCCACGCACTCCCAGGCACACGGAGGGACCCAGCAGCGTCGCCGCACGCGTCTGAGCCACGCGTCGGCGATGCAAACAGGCTGTGACTTCACCCGGCAGAGCCTCGACGACTGCTCGGTGCGGAGTGTACTGTTGCGAGGCGCCGCTGGGCGGCGGCGCGCGGCTCCTCGCTGCTTCGGCGCGCCGCGCTGGCGCTCTGCGGCGGACGGTGCCGTTGGCTCGCCGTTGCCTCGCTCGTGGACGTCCCATTGAAGCACGCGGTGCGGCGCCTCTCGGTGGGCCCATTGCGCCTCTCACTACACACTCCCTGCTCTCTCCCGACCTCACTCCACGGTGCGTCACGATCGTGGCGGCGATGCGCCGCAGGCGCTCGTCATCGCGCGCATGGCCGTGGCGCCGCGTCCAGGCGGCAAGCGCACCGTGCCATGCCTGCGGTGGCGCTGCCACCGACAGCGCCACCACCGCACACTCACGTGCCGTGAGGAAACGCCACGTCGCGTGTCACTTCACGGTGTGCCGTGATCGTGGCGGCGATGCGCCGCAGGCGCTCGTCATCGCGCGCACGGCTGTGGCGCCGCGTCCAGGCGGCAAGCGCACCGTGCCATGCCTGCGGTGGCGCTGCCACCGACAGCGCCACCACCGCACACTCACGTGCCGTGAGGAAACGCCACGTCGCGTGTCACTTCACGGTGTGCCGTGATCGTGGCGGCGATGCGCCGCAGGCGCTCGTCATCGCGCGCACGGCCGTGGCGTCGCGTCCAGGCGGCAAGCGCACCGTGCCATGCCTGCGGTGGCGCTGCCACCGACAGCGCCACCAACACTCACGTACCGTGAGGAAACGCCGCCGCGTCGCGTGCGTGGCGCGGCTATCACTAGCGGCCGGCGCTCGTCGGGTGATGGTGTCGCGGGCCGGCGCTCCAGTGTCGAGTCGCAGGTAGAATTCTTTTTCACGCGTGTCAAAAGTCGAGCTCTCGCGCGAGTGCCAAGGTGCACTCGAGAGTCTCGCCTCATGGCCTGCTGCGACAGGTGCGGCGAACGTCATCGGACCATAGACTGCCCACACTTCCCGAAGCCTCGCGGGAAGCATCCGGACGCGCAGTTGCAAGGCCCAAGGCGCAACCTCTCCCCAGACGTGGAGGCTGTCGTTCGGCGCGGTACTCTCGTGGCCCAGACCCCAGACGGTTCGTGCCTCTTCAATTCCTTCGCGTACTGCGAGCAGCAAGACGCTGGGTGGCTCTTTGGAGCGGCGACGCCCGCCAGCATTCGGCGTCAATGTGCCGAGTGGCTGCAGGAGCACGGCAACTATGTGCACAACGGGCTGCGCATCGCCAAGTGGATCGAGCATGAATGTGGCCAGCAACTGTCGGTCAAGGACTACGCGTTGCAAATGCAGCGGTGCCGAGGCCGTGTTTGCTGGGGCGGCGCGCTCGAGATCCTCGCCTACTCGCGGTTGCGCTCCGTGAACGTTGCGGTGTGGATACCGACCGATGGCAGGCCCAAGCACTTCACGCTCACCTCGCGCTTCGAGGTGACCGGTGCATTGACTACGGTCAACTTGTGCCGGTCACAGCGCATGCATTACGATGTGGTCGAGCTGGTCGGCGAGCCGGTCACGGGCGGGCAAGAGCGAGAGCGGCGGTCGGCGGCGGCCGCCAGGAAGAAGGAGGAGGAGGCGCAGAGCCAGAGGCTGCAGGTCGACGCCTTCATGCGCAGCTGTCGCCTCGGCAGCCGCGGCGGCGGCGGCGCGTCGGCCGTCGCCAAGGGCGGCGGCAAGGGCGGCGGCAGGGGCGGCGGCAAGGGCGGCGGCAAGGGGCAAGGCGGCGGTGGCGGCGGTGGCGGCGGTGGCGGCGGTGGGGCGCGACCGAGCCGCCATGCAAGTCCCAGAAGTCCGCGCGCCCTGGAGGGCGCGGACAAGCGACTGACACCAAATCTCCGACTCTGGGGTTGTAGTGCGGACCCGGGACTACAACTCTCTAGTCAGATGTGCAGCGTGAAACGCGCTTTTGCGCCCCCCACGGCGCCCGAAGTGCGCCTTTGCTCGCACAGCAGACGGGTCGCGAGCCGGGAAATCGCAACAGTCTCGCTGAATCTCGCCGCCCCAGGCTCTAGAGGTGGAGAGACTGGCCTTCCTGGTCAAGCAGGACATGCCCCTGCTAGCATGCCAAGCAAGGGCTCGCGGGTCGAGGTTGTTATTGCGCCACACCACCCTGCCACCGCTGCCACCGAAGGCAACACGGTGCTCCGTGAAACGGCCACTTTGTTGTCGTAGTCAGGCTGTCTTGTGTATGCGGCTCCTTAAAGCTAAGAAGTGTGTATAAGGGGCTAGGAAGAGGGACCCAAGATATCTTCTGAGCTGTGCACAGGGGAGGACCTAGGTGACAAAGACCCAAGAGAAGGGGCCGGAGAGAGTGAGGTGAGGCCCGAGCGGCCAACGGAGCAACGGTGGTGGCAGCGTGGCGCACCGTCAAGCTCGGGCACAGCCGGTTTAAGCCAAAGTGAAGTAACTCATATATATCTGAAATCATATGAGTTACACCTCGGCCTTCTAGGAGCTGCTAGCTGAGTGATTGGCGCGCTAGAAGCCTCCCCGAGAGTGCCTCCCCGACCGGCCCCGAGGAGCTGCTCGGAACTCCAACTTTAACCCTTCATAGCTCCAAAACGTACCTGCGGATTTCTTCCCTATTGCTCCTGCATGATCTGTGGGTCCACCCCACTCACATAACCAAGCCTCAAGGAATGGCGTCTAGGCGTTGAGAAATAGTTTCTTGTACACACCTATACACATCAGACGACTCAAGGTTATTGAGAAGAAAATACCTCCTATGGCGCTGTGCGCTGTTCACACAACCACAGAAGGAAAAGGAAAGAAATAGCAGAAGGTGTTAGGTTGTGGGCAAACAAGACACTAAGCTCACACAGAATCACAGCGGGAGGAAATAGCACAGTGACAGTCAGACATGCAACACGGGGACCCAGGGAAGGCGAGCAAAGATATGGTAGGGTCACGGCCAAAAGGGTGGGGGGGTATGGTCCTGGCCGCCGGAGGCGGCCTCCTCGAGGGGTGGGGGGGTATGGTCAGGCTGGCGGCCCTCTCCAGGGGTATGGTCATGCTGCTGGTCTGCACCACACCGGCAACGCTTTCGTTCGGCACGTTTTGCAAACACACGTTTTGCTCTCTCTCTCTCTCACACACACACACGTTTTGTGGGCGAGCGGGACGCATCCTGGCACTATCTGGCCCATCTATGACAGTGACGACCTGCTATGAGCCTGAGAAGTCCCTTTCCTGAACATTAAGGTCTGCTGGCGCCGCGGTCAGCTCGATCCGGGTACCGGGAGCGTTCGACCATACGACCATCCGTTACGTCCGTTACCGGATGTACGACCGTTATGGCGGTTACACCCTCGGGGGGAGGGATGGTCCTGCCGGCCAGAGGCCATGTCCTGCGCGGGTGGGGGGGTATGGTCGCGGCGGCATCGTCACCATACCTTACCAAACGTCGAACCCCGCGGCACCTTTTTGCAAAGCGCTTTCGGGGTGGCCTCTCTTACTTTCGAGGTCGGTCGCGACGCAGGGCAGCACGACGCTCCGACGGCGACGGCGCAGCGGGCGGATGGAGACGCCGACTGCGGCTGCGGTTGAGGAGCTACGTGCTCTTGTGGCTGCTGCGCCCGACCTCGACGCCTCCTCGCGCGAGTGGGCGCTCGGGCCGTCCGTGTGCCATCGCTACCTCGCTGCGGGCATTGCCTCGGCGAAACCGGGCGCGGCTGAGGCTCTCCCGTTCCTCCTTCGCACCGCGCGCTGGCGAGAGAGCCAGGCGGTCGGCGGCGCCATGCTCGCCGACGACGCGCTCTCCGCCTTTGAGGAGGCGCTGCGGCCAAAGCTGCTCTACTCGCTCTCGCGCGACCGCGCCGGCCGGCCGCTGATGATCGAGCGCGTTGGCGCCTGGGACCTGACCGAGCTGACGCGAGTGATGACGGACTCTGCCGGCGAGGTGATGCGCGCGCACGTGCTGGTGAATGAGCGCATCCGCGTGTCGGTGGATGAGGCTGGGTTCGCGAGCGAGGGCGCCGACCCTCGCGCGGTGCTCGTCTTCGACATGGACGGGCTGGGCTTGCGCCACCTGGCGTCTCGAAAGCTGCTGCAGGTCTTTTCGGAGATGTCAAAACTCGACTCGGACCACTTCCCGCACACTGTTGGCACCATCTTCGTCGTTGGCGCGCCGCGCGCCTTCTCGGCGCTCTGGGCTGCCGCGTCTGCCTTCGTGGCGGAGGGCACCAAGAAGAAGGTGTCGGTCTTCTCGTGGGCGGCGGCCGCCGAG